ATTAGCGTATAAAAATAAAAAAGGTTAATGGAGCACATATAAACATTAAAGAGAATAGAATTAAGACAGCTCCCTTGAGGGAGACCATAATAGGAGAAGCGAGAAACAAATAAGCCAAAAGAAAAAAAGGGGGATATAGTGATTAAAAAGGAGAGAGGAAATAAAGTTACATGGGAAAGGACAAACATCAAAAGAGATTAATTGTGAACCAAATCAAAAGTGCCTTTGATAATAATGAATACCGCAGGAAAACATTTTTTTTACAAAAAGAATCGTAAAGAGGACAGACAATCCATAGTTCCTAAGTCTCTTCTAAATCAAAAGCGTTGTTAAGTAACAGATTAGTTTTTTCCCAGGAACCAACCAAAGAGGTTTAAATTAGATATTCTATGATTTTGAAGAGAGAAGAAGAGAGGGTGATAGAGCAGAAAGCTAGGGTAGAGGAATTAAGTTTAGGGACAGGAATGACTTGGAAAGGACTTAAAATTTAAAGAAGGATTATCCAGGCCTAACTGAGGGAGATAAGATTACTAGATAAAGTTCCTTAGCTGTAAAAGGCATAGATAAGGGATGCGTGATGGAATTAAATGTATCTGCTATTTCCACGGTAATTGCTTTTAGAGGAATCCGATGCAAGATGAAGACTATTGATGTCACCACATAGTACGGAACTGTTAGAAATTAAACAAAAAATCGAGTTGATAAGAGAAGAACATCGTTGGCGGATGGAGGAACACATAAGGGCCAAAGAGAGATTGGACAAGACTATGATACCTACCGAGGTCAATAAAGTGATAACGAAGAGAGCTTTAAATATTATCATTCATAATAATAGGGGTAATTTGTATGTGCCAAGGGGCTGTCATAGCATAAGGAACATAAGTCATTAACCACGTTTCAGGTAAAAGAGCAAAGGAACATTTATGTTCGGATAGAAGAAAAGAAAGGTTGTCGGCGTGCGGAGTAATACTCTTGATGTTTCATTGTAGAGCTGATTAATTAGATTTATTATAATATACATTAATGTATGAACAAAATTCGGCATTGTCAATAACAGCAGTATTACTGTTACTTGTTTACAATGTTACTAAATAATCACCTCCGGTATCTTGTGAAAAATGAATGGAATAACAATTTTTAATAATTCTTATAAATATGTGATGCAAAAAAAAAAACAATTCACTTTTCACGATTTTACTATTGTTTGTCGTCAAACAAATCATGTTCAGTCACAATATAACAGCTGAGTAATTAAGTGTATATTTTTTTTGACGATTTAGGGCACCAGTGAAGCTCTTCATATCGTTTAAAATATTACATAAAACTTTTAGATATTAGTGTAAGTGCGCTCAATGTTTTCCAAATACATTCCTAAATTTTGAACATTTTATATCTTATTATATATATTTTATATAAAATTCTAAATCGAAATGTATTTCACGTTCAGTTTGCTAATTATGTTGCTGTTGAGTATCAATCAGTCGTTTGTCTCGTGCGATGACAAAGTACAGCTTGCACGTCAGCTCCACTGTATGTTAAGTCAACATAAACAAGATTGGATACAAATCTCCAACGTACAAGGTATACATCAGCCAGGACAAGCTAATGCCTTCAATTTTTCTCCAAAAGACCTGTTCAATGACTCGGCGGTGACCGTAGATAATGTCGAAGCAAAATACTTCATGGCCGTCATTTTGCTCGGTTGTAAGTATACAGGCGCATTGTACGATTTTGTAGTTCTTATAAAGCATTGCTTGAGATTTTGTCGCAAAAAGCGGACGAGACGCTGGTTAGTAATGAACAAATTCTACAAATTCGTATTGCACAAAACGTTTGAATCGCTGCCAGTCTTTTACCGGATGTCTGGTGCGTTGAATTACTTAAAGGCCATGTACCCGGACGACGACTTGGGGTACACTTCGGAATTCTTGGATTGTATTGCTTACATTATGGATTTTACCCTAAGGAAATACCTACTCGACACGCCCCGACAATTCTTAGACGAAGACGGAAACGTTGATTTTGCTCGCGTCAATAATGACTTAAGTAAATTTTCCCGGATCTATAGTGAGCTAAAATACAAATTGCGTACTAACTTGTCGTGCAAGCTATTTGTTAATTTCAACCATAAGTATAACGAGTTCGAGGCTGATTTCAAAAAGAACAATCCAGAAAAGCAATTACATGAAATACTAAAACATGCGGAAAAACTAATATTAGAAAATTGGAACGATGTCACCGTGAACGCTTACAACCGTCTAGGTTTTCGCTTCGACCCAAACTCGGGAGACACCAATATGGTGTTGACGGTAGATTTTTATGAAACGCAGCTTTGATATCTGCACAGGGGTTAGCTACGTTTTTTTACATCAAAAATACTAATGACTAATTACACTAATAAATACTAATTTTGTAGTTAAAGCTAATTTGTAGTGAATAAAGTAATTACTTTTACATAATATAAACGATTTTATTTATTCGTATGGTAATTACAAATGATTAACAAACATTTCAATCATAATTTGACCCAAAGTAGAAAATACGCAAAATCAAGCAGAATTCTTAATATCTATTTTTCGAATACTAAATTTGTAGGATTTAACCCAAGAAACCCTATTTTTAACAATGGAATAGCACCTAAGCAATCAAGTATTTAGTCGTACAGAAGGTATATTTTTAGGTAGACACTAGACGGTACTAAAATAAAATGTCACCGAGGTCATGAATTATTTATTTTTACAGACTATTTATTATAGACAGAAATTGCGGTAACATATTGTGCTTGATCAAAAGTACCCTATAAAACGATTAGCGCAGTACAGCTCGTTTATCGACATTTTTATATTGATTTCGGAAAGTCGAAAAAAAAACATTTTTCTGAAACGATGTATTTCAAGTTCAGTTTGCTGCTAATTTTGTTGCTGTCGAGTATCCTCCAGTCGTTTGTTTCGTGCAATGACGTAGAACAAGAGTTTGTAAGTAAGATGACTTCAATTTTATTTGAGTACAAACGTGGATGGAGTCAAATATCGCACGTGCATGGTAGATATCCTGCAACAGCAGACGAGGTCCCATTCTATTTTCCTCCGTTAGCGCTGTTCTACGAGCCGGTGACAGCAGAAAATGCCATAGCAAAGTACTTCATGGCCGTCAGTATACTCGGCTGTAGGTATACGTATGCGTTGTTAAAGTATGTGGATTTGATACAGCACTGTCTGAGTTATTGTCGAGAATTGAGAAGCCATCATTCAAAAGGTAATACTATCACAATTGCTTCGAAACTCGGGCTTTGCTACAAATTCGTTTTGGACACAACCCACGATGCCGTGCCTATGTTGGACCGCATGCACGGGGCGTTAGATCATTTCAAGGAGATTTGTCCGTACAAGGAACGCAAGCACGCTGAGGAATTCATCGCCAATATACATAGCATTACGGATTTCACCGAAGAAACATACCAATACAACTCATACCGGCTATTCGTCGATGCATATGGAAACCCTACTTCTGATATGAACACGGGTGACCTGAACAAAATGTTTGTGTTCTACAAAGAATTTAAAACCAAACTACGAAGAATCAAATCGTGTGTACTTATTGATTCGCCGGAGAAGACGTATGAACAATTTAAGGCCGAATCAAAAGCGAAAAATCCAGAAATTGTAATGCTTGATTATGCTAAAAAATGTATATCGGCAAATTGGAAAGATGTTAAACTGAATGCCTACGATAGTCTGGGCTTTCCCTACATACCGGGCACGGTGGATAATTCTCTACATATTTATGATTAAATCAGTGAAGTAGTCTCTACGAGGTACATTTAGTATTAATACATAAATCAATTCAATTATCAATATATTACATATATTTAAACGAAAAATACATTTTAATTTGTTATAATAATATGGATTTCAACTTCAATATTACCAAAATTAAATAACTTGTGTTTTTTTTAATCAATATTTTCAGTAAAATCTTAACAGTTTTATTATTGTAATATTATGTTGCAAAATAAAGACTTGTTTTGTCAAAAAACGGATTTAAAAAAAAAAAGTAAATTGGATTATGTACAATAAAAAAAAAAAAAATACATAAAAATATTCCTACAGTATGTTTTACTAGTCTCTACTTCTGATTACACACTGTACAACAAAAGTAACCTTATTTCTTTTTGGACAAATAAGAATAAAAATTCGCCCATTTTTGTATGAATCGAAATCTGGCATCAGAATTAATTAAAGCGTGTTTAGTTATTTAGTTTTTATGCGAAACTGAGTAGGTATTAGTTTTTTTTTTAATGTTTATTTTCTTATGGCTGTATTAATTTTGTCTTAATCGCCTCCCAAGTTGTACAAAATATTGTTTTGTAATATTTTCAACATGTTTTGTATGTTTGTTTAATTTTCTTACACGTATTTCATTCTATTTTTTTTTTGTTAAATTCAAAACTGGTCTCAAAATTAATTTATTAACGAGTGGCACTAGAACAGTTGTGGGGTAATATTCTGGTATAGAAATAAAATAGACCTGTATTAGTTCTAGTTCCAAAAATCATACTGTTAAGTGTTAATATCAATGATAATTTATTTTAAACTAGTTCGTTTAAAAGTATAGACTTTGATAAAATAAAAGCAACAAAACCGATATCATGATTGTGAGTTCAATAAAAATTGAAGATTTTTTTAATTTACAACAAAAAAACTAAACTGGTATTACTATAATATACATAATATTCTTTAGGTAAACAACATCATTAAGAATATATTATAATTATTTTACGTTTAGAGTCACTTAAAATATACTGACTAGAACAAAAATATTACATTCTAGAGACAGCGTGATGTCAACAATTGCTACTTATTCGAAACTAAAAACTAATATTTGAATAATATATTATGTTAAATGTCTGTGTAATAATTTCAAATACAACATATATATATATAATATATATATATATATATATATATATTATTTACATTTATTTTATATTTTTTTGGTAATATAATTATGACTATGATATAAACAAACAAACGTAATTTAATATAACACAATGTTTGTATTTTATATAACACTTTTTACACACAATCGACACAGTAGTATAGTATAGTATGTAAGTATTAGTTTTTTCCCACTTAACGGGGGGGTTTTTTTTTTAAGAAAAAGTACATATTATGGTGGAAAAAACCTATGTCGCACACTGAGGAAGGTTGCGACAAAGAAAAACCGACAAACGTGCCGAGGAAACAAACACAGATTATATACAAGTAAGTCACTTATAATGATTACTAGGATTACTCCGGGATACGAATAATTAAGATTTACAACTTCAACAATACATCTATAATAGATTAGATGATTCTATTACTTAAAAAGTTATTTTAAATGTAAGTATCCTATTAGATAAATCGAGAAATAACTGTACATTATATATTATATATTTTTTAATTTAATTTCAAAACCGCTTTAAGAGTTTCTCAAAATGTGGCTAAAACGGGCTGGAGCGAAAAAAATCTATCGAGAAAAATTAATCTAGATGGTGAAATTTGAGAAAACGCCTAAATTATCACTACAAAACAATTATAAATCATCGGTTTTCCCATACTGACTATTCCTCGTAGTCGAACTATTATGTAGCAGGGAAAAATACATTTAAATTGGAACTTGAACTATAATTAGTGTTGTAAATTGATCCGCTTAAAAAGCAAAATTATCATATTTCAGTTATTTTTGAAAAGTAGTATACAACCTTAAACGATCACTCTGTATACAATTAGAGCCAATATTCGATTTGCAGACACCATATGTCTTTACGAGTCTTAATGTAAATGACGTTTTTACACATACAGTCTGAGGTGTGTAAATAAGACGCGAGTTTTGGTTTTGTAGTAGAATTTAAAAAAAAAAAAACATAATACGAGTTTAATTTGTTATTGTTTGTCTGCAAAAGAGCTTTGACATGTTTATGAATTTAAAATAGAATATGATTCATATTAAATAGGTAATAAATATAATAGTCTAATGTCTTGTCTAATGTTTAATAAAAAAGTATATTATGTGTTTTGATTTTTTTTTTTTAACAAGAAGATAATTGTATAATGTGATCATTGCTCAATAATGTATGCTATTCAAAAAAAGATCACAGACATAATAAGAAAAGATAATTTCTCGCGAGATAAGCGAAAAAAGGCCAGAAAATTATATTTATTTTGTTCGGAATGAGATGTGTCAATGTATGCACTAATATATCATTATTGTATCGGACACTCCGAAAATACTATTTTAATGGGTCTATTCTAAGAATTTACACAAAATGATTGATTCGGTTTAGACTTGGGTTGAGAGTGAAAATTTGACATTTTTTTTTTTATAGATGGGTTGGGCGTGATAGAGAGGGTGTTTGAGTTGACTTCTATTTTGCCCATGTGATTTTCAATCGCTGTCAACTCCAAACAATCTTTTGTGACCACATTCTGCATCTGTCCACGACTTTTACTGCACGTCCTCCGGCGAAAGCCCGAAGCTGACGTTTTCCGTTTTCATGGTGGTCATCGTAAACCGGCAAATGTAAGTGCCACTCCTAGAAGTGTGATTTCCCCTGCGCAGCCGGTTCTGTCTGTCCATTCCAAAGCACAAGAACAGTCTCTTGAATTCGTTTCGGTATTTTCCTAGACAAGTGTGACACATAGCATAATGAACCAGATAGTATTGACACAAAAAACAATTTACACTCACCACTCATGAAATTGTAAATCAACGGGTTGACCGCACTGTTGGCGTATATCAGCCAGTGTGTAAAGTTCGTCACCAACGCCATCAATTCTGTCTGCCGAATTCCAATAGTGTATCTAAAAATGAAAAAAAAAATCATTAATGGCGTATGAAACAATACCATGCGACTTGCATACATCCAGAAATATTGGCCAAACGAACATCAACGTATCTTTGATACACTCATCGATAATTAAATTATATAAGTAGTATAGATTTTTTATTTTTTTATATTTTGATTTTCTACACACCTTTAGGCCATTTGGCTATGACCGAGGACAATATATTATTAACAAAGTGTTTATTGATAATAAATGTACAACTAATAAGTATAAGAAATAAGTTGAGGAAGTGTAAAGGATTCTGGATTTCCCTCAGTGTGACTGTCCTCGTTTACGTGAGAGAATACGAATAAGACCTTGACGAGACTTTAAGCCAAATGCAAATAAATATATAACAGCTGTCAAACGTATCTGAGGTCTAGTAATCGTATATTTGGTAAGCTTTAACGCATTTTAGCGTGGGCATAGACAAGTTAAAAATATTTTCAAACATTACCATTTTTGCTAGTTATTTTTCCTGTAGCTAACTATTCTATAGGGTGTATGTTAATAGCAATTAAAGAGCTACCGAAAACCAAAATAAAAAATATTGCACATGATAAAAATAAATATATATTGTTTTCACAGTCAACAGCTATTAATTTTGATTACATTTATCAAAATCCCTGTACAGAAAGTCTGTTGTAAAAAAACTGAAGGTCGTTTCAGATCTGCAGGTAACACTGTTTACTGTCAGTAAAGACACTGTCTAGTAAGCAATATAATACAGAATTCTAGCGATTACAATGATTCACTAAAGATGTTAATTTGTTGAGGTTAGGTGATATTAGCTTTTAAATTATTTGATATTCCAAAACTATGACATATTGTAGTTAATTATTAAATTAGTAAGTTTTTGATTGAGTGGGTTTCGTTGTTTTAGATTTATGCACATCAATTAACATGTCAACAAACAAGTGTTCTCTTAGTCAATGGGTTTGTCAACACAGGTAAACAAAATTATTTGTATAATATAGAATACTGACGTCGGTCAAATGTATTTTCCTTTTCGCATTAATCACAACTTTTTCCGTATTAAGAGATAATATAAATTCTCCCCCCCCCCCCCGGAAAAAATCAAGCTTTATACGGTCTAATCGCAAGTCTGCCTATGGGCTTTGGTCGTTTATCTTGATATACTTACTTACTATGATTGTTCCGTGTTATAAACATAAAACATACGGTGTGTACCAAAATCAGTGTATAGCTCTTTATACGTTTTCCATGGTTTGTGTTCCATACTAATGGGTGTACGATTTGAACTGCGCTTTTTTATGTATCAGCAGGCTATACGTGAACAAAACCATTGAAAAATGTATTTTTTCTTAATGCAATTGTCTTAATTTATTGGCATTTGACATTGCGCCGCGGCGGTCTGAATTGTGGGACACACTGTATAGGTCTAATGAAACAATAATATATAAAGACGACCTGTTGCCACAAACCCTTTTAGCCGAATAAATTCCAATCAACCGCGTTAACCTTGCGTTACGACCGGCTCGCGGAGTTCCACGCTTATAAAGCTCGACACCATAAGACAGGGACTTAAGCCCCACACAATAGCTGGAGAAAATCATTCTGGCTTTTCGGCTATCGGCCTAACGTTAATGAGCACAGCTGTATACACTGCGTTAATGGCAGATTGGCTCCAATGTTATTGTATGGCCGTATTTCCCGGCAAAGATAAAACAACGCGGTAAATGACTAAACGGGAACGTTTGTCGAAAGATTTGTCTTATTTTGTTTTAATATAATTATGTATAGTTAAATGGACGTTGAACCCGCTATTATAGCAGTTCGGATGAAGGCTGAGTTTAGGTTGATCTTTGTTTTCCAGCCCAACGGGTCGACAGCACACCAAAACACATCACAAACGTATACACATACTTTACCGCAATATTTTAATATTAATATTTAACTCAACTAGATCATAGTGTTGAAGAGTACAATAAAAAGTGTACATACCGATGGGAAGCTTTTCTCTAATTTATTGAAAAACAGCATTTGAAGATTGAAAATTCTTGAAGTGTAAATTGTAAAAGCACTGGGCTGTATGACAGGTAGCTCAATAGATTTTATTAGTAGTATTTCCTATAACTTTTTTAAAAGTACGTTGGAAATAGCGTTAATATACCAATGGTTTAATGCAAAAAAATTGTCTCCATATAGTTTTTTATAAACTGCTGTATTGAATTTAAGTACTCAATACGACGGTTAATGATATTTTTGCCGAATCCTTTTTTTTTTCAACTAAACGGATTACCTTAAACTTAATGTAACAAACTTCACACTTCTTAAATTTGATTTTCATTGTGTATTTTATTATAGTTCGTTGGGGTGGCTTGTGTACAGAAAACGAAAATTATACAAGCGTTTAAAACTTCTTTCGAGTGCTCTAGATGCTACCAAGCTTAGTTTCACTCGCACCTATACTCTGTAACAAGAAATCTTGTACGGTTAAAAGCACTTAAGACGGATTAGGTTACCTTACATGATATTCTGGAGAGCAACTAAGTACACAAAATAAGTGTCGTGTTGTCGATGTATGACCCTAATGTTTTTTACCCTGCAAAATTAATTAATTATTCATTTATAATACAAAAATAAAAGCTCCCAATAGTATTTGTACCGAGAATAATCCACGAGCGTAACTATTATTTATATACCAAAATTCGAGATCCAAAATATGAAAAAAAAAAACTGTAAATTAATATTTTTAATATATATTTTATTGAAAATCTTTGAAGCCTTTTCGAATGTTAAATAGTTATCTAATGTATAATCATTTCACGAATGTTGTATTCAATTTACTTCAGCATACATTTCTGAGCACCTAACTAAAGTAAAACAGAAAAAGCTTCACAGACTACAATATACTCTAACAGTGTTTGGAATGTATTTTAGATATATTCTGTATTACATTCTAAAGTAACTATTGAAAAATTTAACCAAAAAGTACGATTGAATAAGAGTGATCGATAAGACATATTAAATATACTTTAGAACGTTATAATAATAACAAAATTAAATAGTAAATTAGTTAGTTAAGTAGTGTAATTTAGCGTGATTCATCAACGAATAAATAGATGACAGTAAATACAAAAAACTATGTAAGGTTTGCTTTGCTTTTGTCCTGTCTGTTGTTTTCATACCTTTGATGCTAAGGTTCTTTTTCTTCATGAGAAACAATTAACGGTTTTATTTTGATTTGTAGTAGTGACTTGAAAACGGTGACAGATTCCGAAAATTACTTTTAACGGTGATTAAGTCAAGAGACAAGCGAGAGTATGATGGCCAAAGAGTATATATTCAAAGACTTTTTTGTTGTAAAAATAATCAGTTATATTTTTATAGGCCAATCGATGTATTGACAAGTGATAAATAATTTTATATTTTAATAAATTTTTTAAATAAAGTAACCATATTTTGTACTTATGCAGTAAGATCAAGACGATAGTAACTTGGAAGTATTACCAAATTACTTAAGAAAAATCATCCATTGCGGTCCGGACGAACTTTTCAAACTTATGCTATTTCCAAACCAGCGGTCGCATGGATTACAATTGTACCTATTACATCCCGTCCTTGCTATAACCTGATTTATACTGTAATTATTTGTCTCTAAAATAATATCTCTGCGTTATTATTTTACACACAAATAATACCATTATAAGTTCGAACAGAAAATATATCAGGTATATTTCTGATGAAAAGAAAGCACATCACAAATTCTTGCACTAAAATTACAACTTACACATTTGGATAAGTGATTAAAAATGTGTGAACAAAATAAAAACACTGATTTGTCAATTGACCGCGATAACATGATAATGTTTAACGCCACGAAAATAATTTGTCAAGTATAACACGTCATCTTAAAAATAGCAAAAATAAATACATTACAACCTAACCTAATCAGCTGGTCTATAACCAATTACAGATTTTAGATAAGAATTTGTTGACAACTTGTAGTGCACAATATTTTAAACGCCACGCCGTCGGCGGAAAGAGCTTGATAGTATAATTTGTATTCGATCAGAATAAAATCCACAATATAAAAGACAGTCCAAAAAGATTCTGTTATTTAAAGTTTTTTACAAAATGATTGAAAAAAAAATTGTACTCCATTGAAATAAAATTCAATTGAAAATTGTGGTGGTCTTGGACCATTCGCATGTGCACAACTTTTTTTGAACTTCCTTAATATCTACCGTATCGAACAAATAAAACGTTTTTAGTTATTCTTTTTTTTTTATATATATACCCATCACTGCTCTGATTTACTTTTTAACGAACTCGCGGGTACCATTGCCAGGCCTCCCTTGCTTTTCGAACTTAATCCACGGGACACATCTCATTAGATTCAATAACTTTTTCACTTCTTCAATATAATAACAAAATTTCGTGAAATTCATTATTATTAGGCGTATCTTAATTTTTTAAATGTTATCGATCGGTTTCATGTTTATTAAATATTTGTATATGAGTACAGCGTAATAGTGTTCCCGTACCATGTAAGCAATGACTTTTATTTGGGCAAATAAGGTTTTGTGCAGTAAACGGAATTATTATTCAAAGCGAGGAGGTGACGGTAAACGCTAAGAAAAAGAGCCCACGTGGAAATCCAATTTATATAACACGTGATAACGGATTTGCAGGGGTCGTGCGTTTTACATTGTGTTAATAGTGCCCAGTGTATTTCACTGACACGCTTAGGGCAGATTTTACGCTCTAGAGCGCATATAAGCGTTACTTAGGTATCCAACCGGCAAAACTTATAGGAATAAATTATCATATTAGCCGTATTAAACTAGTTTTTATCAGAATTCCTATATACGCGTACATGCAAGGGACCGAGCTTTTCTATTTTAATGCATACTGTTTTCGTTTAGAGTCCGTTCAGGAAAGCACGAAGCGAGAGGATGAAGCGCGCTGAAGGGTTAAATTGAATTTTGCTTGGTCTAAGTGAATATCGTCGATGAAATTGGTTTTCGGCCTATAGATTTGCTTGTTGGCGGTCTGGAAATAGTATGATAAAAATTAGCAAAGCCCCCCAAAAAAATATCGATTATCATATAAATATGATCATTATTGAACACAAAAAAAAAACAATAGACGTGGAATCTTAAATATAAACAATACATTTGAGACAAATGTTGTACGACTCAGTAATTTTGTCTACTTCATTCCTCACAAATATCAAAGAAACCTATGGTTTTGTCATCACTGTGTTCACCTGCATATGTTTAGTAATTTTTTAAAGCAATATAAATCTCATCACCATGTTTTAGTTCTCTTTCGGATGACTTATATAACATTTATATAGTATACCTACTTGAAAAATGGGAAACCAAGAGTATCGTGTAGCCGCGTAGTAATGAACATCCAATTACTTGAAAACACCACAAAATACCACAGTCTTTATTAATAACGTTTTCTAAAAAAGAGTTATTTGTTTTTAAAAAAAAAATCTTTACCGTAATTCAGATAAAAAACAATCTCCTTGCCTCATAAAATAAAAATAAATTGTGTTTTATTAAATATTATTTTCTAGTACTAATATTATTTGTTTTGCTTACTTTTTGTAAAACGAGTTTTTAAGTTTGTAAAAGTTTTAAAATTTCTAGTTGTTGCGAACGAATAAATAAATAATGGAAATTTAATACAAAATAAATCAATATTAGTTTAAGAACTTTAATGTATTTTTTTCGAATGCTTTTATTTCTTAGAAATATTATTAAAATAGTAATGTTTTGGAAGATACGAGTAATACCTAAAAATGAAATACCTACATATCTAAATCATACTACTTGGCGGGTACTTTCAATTTCCTTGTATTGTTAGGGTTAGTTATAATCTGTTTGATAAACGACATTTCTATTATAGCAACAGTATACAGACTGCCACAGTAGTTACACAAATCAATATTATGCTACTGCTGTGATGATCATTAATCAATAATTCTTCATATTTTATTTTGGGTATGTCAGAGTGTAGTTATTTATACATATATATATATATTTTGCTGTATAACAAATTATGTTTGCAAATCATTGGTGCATAAGAGTTATGACTTTCGGGACTATATAATAAACATAGTCGTTGCTGTAATTACATTAAGAAAATAAATTGTCTTCCAAAAATAATAAATATAGCCCACTTGTTGCGCTGTACTTACGACGGGCCTATTCTAACTATGCCGTTGACCTATCGTCCATCCGACGAACACACTTAAGCTCATATTTTGTATTCGAGTACAGCTCTGCATCGAGGATGTGCTATTAATAAAATACAGTTTAATTTAACAGTGTCCCGATAAATGTTTGTATAGTCGACAGATGCGTTCCCGACATGCATTAAAGTGATCAAGCTGCTTATATTGTTAAATTATAATACACACAAATAGAATGTGCCTTGCAGACTATGTACATCAACCGGCCACTAATCCCGAATTAAACGCAAGCAATGTTATCGTTTCCTCCGGCAGGGTTAATTTAATATATTTTCAATATTGTGCCATTAGTAACCTGTGTGGGTTAAGTTCAATTATGGGAAGTTTAGACATGCTATGGAAACGCAATTAACGGTTACACGGTGGATTGCTTCGATCCGGCTAACCAACACTCGGACACTCGACGATTGCCCATTGCCGACCTGACCTAACCTCAGACCTCCAAAGGATTCTTGATTAGTTGAATATGTGAACATAATGTCTTTGGTGTTGAATCGATTTTAATGTAAAAATATTCGGTTTTTTTTTTATTTAGAATTTAAAATTAATCGTAAAGCAATTAATTGGAATAAGAAGGATGATACTGTCAAGTACCTGGGGGTTTTCTAGATGAAAAACTTACATTAAAAAGCACATATCAATAAAAAACTAACTTAAGACTTTGTCAGAATGAGAAAAAAGCGCCATGGTTTATGTGCAATAAACAAATCCACAATGATACAGTCGTCCAAAATATTTCGGATTGGTTCAAACTTAAATTCAAAAATTTCCATACTTATCTCCAAAATACAGAAGGTGCGAAATATTTTTTACTTGGCGCAAAAACCATAAACAGGCGCTTTAAGGCCCGCTTCCCGCAGGACAACCTGCTATCGGACAAAGACTCCACCAGCGAAGAATGAAAAAAACATTTACACATTTTAATACGTTATAACTTTTTTTTATGTCTTCATCCTTATTGTAGCTTAATTCTCATATTTCACCAAACGTTCATTGTTTACTACACCTTGCATACACCATAATTTACTAATCATACTTGTAAAAACATTTATATGTTGAAACAATTACACTTCTAAAAAAAAATATCCTCTTCTTCCATAACCGTTATAGACCACTGGTTTTAACTTCATGGTTTACAATATTGCATTATAGTAACTATTATATATTTTTGAGAGTCTATGTGATTTGAAATTTATGACTACTATTTTTTAATAGTTTCTATTTTTCAAGCTGGTAAACCCTTTTGTTTTTTACTAAAATAAAGAAAATATTTAGAATCTTTATACAAACAAAAATACAATAAGTAAATGGGCTGATTTTTAAAACTAAATATGACGACGAGTAGAAAGAAAGCGTCCATTAACACTACTTTGTATGAATTTAAGGCTTAGTTGAAGAGATAATTTGCATTTTTAAAAAAAAAATTATTGGCACACGTTGAATAGATCTCGTCGCCAGTTCCGCTTTTGGCGGCAAGGAGGATTGTTGGGTATTATATAAGAATATAGCTAGATATGAGGAGGTTTAGTGGTTGGAGATAAATGGTCCAAATGGATTTTTTATAGTAATTGAAAGCAAGAGTTTATAGCATTAGTATGTCATGGTGTATGGTTTGATTGCTGACATACCCAGGGTCATTTGCGACGAGGCGTAGATTTTTTGATTGAAAGGATTAAAAGGTATTTAATTTAGGAATTTTAATTTTCTTTTAGTTTTTATATGGGTTACCCAAGTAAGACTCCTGTCCAGGTGGACACCTAGGTATTTAAAAGAGCTATTTATGGTAATACCAGTATTTTTGTTGCCATATTATTTATTTGGGTATCGAACAATTTAGCACATTGTATGTAAATAAAATATTTAAATATTCAAATATTAAGTTATAATAATTATACTAAAATTGAATAAGTATGATTCAGCATGTTGTATTTTTTTGCCAATTATACTATATCTAGTAGGTAACAAAACATACAACTATAATGTGGGCTAATTTAATTATAGTGTTTTTTTTTTTTTTAATATACTTGCACACGGTACAAATTGTATTGTTATTACAATAATAATACTGTTTACAATTTTGTTTCAAATTTATACAGAAAACGAACCTTATTTCTTTTAGATATAATTATATTTTCTATTCGTTTGATAGAGTATGATTTTAGGCCTCGTTTTCTCAAAACCTAACATAGTATTGAGTATAAAATGGATATTTAAATCTCCCACTTTCTTCTTATGCAATGATATAAAATAAAGATTACAGCTCAATTAAAAGTATACATTTGGATTTTATTTTCTGTACAAAAGAAAAACGGTACAAAAATGTAATAAATACTGACATTTTACTTTTGAGTTATTATGACATTTATATCAGAATAAATTGTGCTTCTAAAAAACTACATAAAACATTTTCTACATAATGTCTATTCGGTGCACGTGTTCAGGCTGTTGGTGCCTACGGCGTAAACAATATTAATTTTGTTTCTTTCGCTGTTTCTGTTCGAATAGGTATAATTATTTATTATTTAGGTTCAACAGTTATCCGAAAATCGTGAAATTTAATCCAAACGGAATTCAATTTTACCGAAATCCACCACAAAGTCCAGACTGTTTCAGTGACAATATATAATATCGAACAAACTATCATGGCGTGACGTTCCCAAGATATCAAATCCTGTAAACGAGGGAAAAATGTAACATTACACTAAAAACGAGCTGTACGAGCTGTCGCGTTGACGAGTCAGAAAATGAGATTTTTTAATAAAACTTAAACGTATTTTGTTAAGGTCGGTCTGAGTCGGATATTAAGGAGAGTGGAGTTTACTGATTTCAGTACATTTTTAGGAATTTTTTCATATCATATATATTTAAAACTATCTGGTTTTGGCGGAAATCAAATTCAATTTTAGTTGTTTCTTGGTGGCCATCGTTCTGGTGTGTACGTCCATTGTATAATACACAAAATTCATTAAAAACACAGACTTACCTCAACAGGTTCATCAGGTGTACAGGACAAAAACACAAAGCGAACATTATCACCACAGCTACCAGCATCTTAGCGGCCTTTCTTCTGGCTTTTATCTGTGTCATGCTACTAGCACATCCCACATTTGCCGTCCGGTTGACCCCTACAACATGGTCGAGGTAATCTTTATATTCCTTCTATATTATATTTATTATAATATAAAACAATTTAAAGGTACAAAATGATGGTTGCATTGATATTTTCGTGATAACGAAAACGTGTAGTTTTTCCTTCAAAGGCTGTCGGAAACAACGAAGCAGCTTAAGCGATTACAATTTTCATAAGTTGCGCTTTCGGACTTGGATAACATTTTAGGATTATATTAATTATCTTCTCGTCACGTGATACATCTCATTGATCGGCTTACAAGTTTTCCTAAAATCTTTCCGAAGTTTAAGCCCTTTCACCCCCTCTCTCCTAGCGATACAATAGGAGTACTTATACAAATTTAATCGTGGAACAAACTGTGACAAAGCGATCGTTGTTTAAAAATTCAAACAAAACCGAATGCACTGCCCGATGATCACGGACCATACTTTATGTTTTCTGTATGAAGTCATGTAAGACGGTCGTCAGACAGATACAAATTAAGTGGATTTTATTAAACTAAAAAATATATTAAATTATGTTACGTTTAAGGCGAGAAATGCTGTTACAACGAGAGACATCGTTCAATCAAAGTAATAATATAAAAACTAAGAAGAGAATAAAACCTCAATGGAAAAAAACGGTTATTGACCAAAAAAAACAATGTGTATATATTGAATTCCGTACGAGAACGCCGAAAGAGACACTAAATGGCGTCTGAAAGCTTGTATTACAGACGGAGCGTCTAATAAATCAATTTCCTAGCGTAAACGTGGAATATAATGTTGTCCTGGACGACCTCGTCTGCTAAAGCGTTACAAAATTCCTACACCGTTGATCCCGAACGTGGTTATGTGGGTTACAACCGTAAGCTCTCGTAATGGCCCCTCGACTAATAATGATAATTTTATAAAAAAAACTAGTACAGTGGGGTCGGAAAGGACCGAATTGATGGATAAACAGAAGGAGTGTGTAGGAAGAATAAATTTGGCCAGTTTTGAGGTGGGAAAAAGAGGGAATTTTTTTACGGGGTAGTTGGAGTAGACGGAATCAAAAAAATGTAACAATGGTTGAGCAGATCTGACTGTGTCAATTAGCAAATAAAAACATATCAGTGCAAAAACAATACCTTCTAAGCTCCGTTTAGTAGCTGAAAAATGACGATTAAATAAAAAAAATATCACATAAAAATATGCGAAAATTCGGAATTCGCTTAACGATCCTGAGTCTCACCGTTTTGACCGTGTGAGTTGAACATCTGCACGGTTTCCGTGTGACCGGGTATGGTGTCGGATCTCCAGAGCACCCGGACGATTTGATAGTAAGTGATGGACATTAGCGACAATGGTAACACGTAGAGTAGTATCATTTTCGCCACCTGGTAAATAGTCTCAGATTCTTGGCTCCAAAGGGCGTAACACTGGGTCAGATAGACGCTGTCGGCCAACCTCGGTCCACCATGGTTGATAGTCTTCAACACCCATAGCTCAGGCATGTCTGCAAAAAAAAAACCAAGCCACGGGTCAGCATCGTTATGATGGATACTGAGGCAATTGCAGTCAACATGGAAACCACGCGACTCGACTCGGTTTCGACTATGCACACCCTTTGATGTATACATCATATTTCCCTATGAATCAACAATTTTTCGGTTGAAATTTAATTTGTAATCCACACAGAACCATAGAAAATACGTGACAGTACATTGTTATGAAATTAAAATTTCGAAATTAACCAGAAATATACCAGAACCTACCGATTCCAAAACTAGTTGTCAAAATTATTATTGAGTTTAAACTTAATCCAAAATAATATATTGTTGTCTTTAAAAACTATAGTGTTAAAAACCTAATCGGGACTACAATTCCTTCATTTAATTAAGTATACACTATAATTGAAAATATTAATATTGTTTTGTTTTGTTATATTGAAGTAAGAAAACTGCAATTTCAAATGGGGCGAGTGCAAAAGCCAATTTTCACAAAACCATTGATTTTAGAATATATTATTATTATTATTTCTATAATATTTCATATTATTTTAAAATTTAAAAAAAATAACTCTTTGGTTATGTTCACAAAAATAATCATGAAAAAAACTCTTTTAAAAGGACAAAGTATAAGTATTGGTTTTTTTTATTAATGTCAACAACATAATATTTGTGTAAATATTATGTTTACAGAATGCTAACCCTTATTTTGGCATGAAAAACGGTATGTATGACGTCTCCTTCACACGCTGATCTAACATAACTTTTATTTCATTTGTTACAAATACTTACATTATATATACAACGCCGAGTTTTATTTATTGCCAGATTGCATTAATTGTAAATTTTGCCTATCTGTTTAATATCATAGAGAAGATTAATCGCTTTTAAACTTATACTGAGTAAGAGCATCATTGTTACATTTTACATTATATATTGTGATAAATTTAAGAGGACGCTACCTACCTGTAATTTATTTACTAAAAATGGTTTTGCGGGGGACAAGAATGTGAGAACGGTATTTAGAGTAGCTGTATACAATTTTTACAATGGATAGAGAAAAACTTTATGTACAATTGTAATTATTCATTCGTAAATTTTCATTATTTTTTAGTTTGTTTTTAAAAAAAAATATTAAGTATAAATATCGAAAAAATGAAAACGCTACCCCATATCCAAGTTCTTCTCTATACATTGTGAAAATTTGGTAAATTTACTGTTAATACTGGCCTCACATACTTGTCTCACGCAAAGCAGTTTTGATAAAAAAAATTGTAATTTATCCTATAGAAATGACTGTGATAGTCTGACAAAAAAATGACAATCAACAAAGTATCCTCATTACTGTAATAATAAGTATACATTATAGTTCAACCTCTAATTTAAGATTTTTCAAAAAATTGCCTATACTTTACTCCTTAGAAATGGCCTGGGTAGCGTCCTCTTAAACGATAGAAGTCGGTAGAAACCGGGAGTAGGTGTTTTTAATTTTGCTGAATGAAATTAATAAGCCATTTACATGATTAAGCAATCAGTTGCAGAAATTCTAATGAATCATCTTTTCTAGAATAATAATATTTGCATTATAGTATGGTTTTACATTTTTTATACACTCCTTTTTATTTATTCTTCATTTCTGTTAATCCTTACCAAACGGCCATTGGCTAAAGTCTATTATTTTTCTGCAGGAATGGTGTGGAGGACGTGGCTATTTACTTTTGTCTAGACATTGAAGCCCCAGAGATAGAGTATTTATACCGACAGTCAAAAAGCTAAACCGGCGATTGCCCTTATGCTAGTGTACTATTCGGGGGTGGGACTTTTCAAAAAAATGTCAAAAATACTACAAAAAATAATGTGTCATAAAGTAGCAGTTTTTTTATTCAAACGTCAACACGCCGAACGCACGCTAAATGATTTTGCGTTTTTAACAATAATTGCAGATTGTTCACAAAAAGAAGGTGTTCATCGAAAAACATTTTAGGAAACACTATTAGGAAAATTATTTTCCTGGGGCTATAATATTATGTATGAAAACTGTTTTTTTTTTTCATGAAAATCATTTAACGTCATCTCCACACCGCAAACCCGTACGTACAAATCCCGTTTGTTGTGTATACTAAAATATACAATAATAAATCCATTCCAGAATAAATATCTACCGCTTGTATGGCGAAATTACTGTTAGGAATTTTATGCATTGTAACATATTCGGATGTTGTTCGGCCGATTCGAAAGTTAATGGATTTTTTTTTACATTAAAGCACACGGATGTATGATTCGCTTTATAAGCAGCACTTCTGTCGAAAAAAATAAGTACGTCAATTATGGAACCTAGTTGGTTTTAATCAAAAGTATTGAACGCCCTTAAAGGCAACACCAAACGTTAGCTAACATTTAAACTTAAATTGTCTGAAAACCTATTAACTGAAATTTGTTTGATTTACAAATTTCAAAAAAGTAAAGAAAGTAATTTGATATAAGATTTCTGTAGAATGTATTAAACTTCATTGTTGGTTGTCTTAGATTTCTTGTTATGATCCAATTATCTTTTTACTCTAGTTATCGGTTTTTACTGCTTATACGTCTATAATAAAATAGAACTAAATATTGAAAAACCAAACTATTTTTTTTTTGCGCATACTATGTTGTATTCTATAATGTATGTATATGAATATAGAGGATATACCGATCTGCGAAAAAGCTTTCTCTTCCAGAGAAGATCGTTTACTCGCGAACAGCTACTTTGATACTTTATCTCAAATAACGTACGAAAAATTGAACCGTTTATGTAGTGTTTATATATTTTTCGCCAGTATCACACTTGTCTTTGGTTAAAAGTTTTACGAAAAATAAAATTCAGTTTCCTTCCAATTGTGTTCAGAATTTGTATACACAATGCGTTGATGTTAATGCAATTTAAAATAACTGGGTTACAGTAAATCAATTTATCATTGTATTATATTTCTATACAATCCATGCGAATGAATAATATAAAGTGTACATCTTGTTTGTTCTTTTTTTTTAATATATGATAATAATCAAATGGCAAACTGAGAAAACGCAAATCAGTTTTGGCTAGTTATTTCACGAGTCATTATAGTTTATTTAAACATACATGGACGACATAAATGATGTAGTCAAGTGGTGTAATATGTATAAACATTTTTGTATTTTCCAGATTCCATCATCGTTTTTAACTTAAAGGGGAACGTACGTATATATTTATTTAATACATTTTTTGGAAGTAGAATAAGTTGCTAAAATGTTGACTTGTCGATAACCAGTTTTCAATAATTACTTAAAGTAATTATCCAAAACTGGTTATCGACCAGTCAGAATATTCAGCAAACTTTTGTTAATTAAAAATAATAATTAAATATATATGTCCCCAACTAAGCTTCAAAAGATGATAGCACCCTGGAACAAAATTAGCAATACTATGAAATTTTAACAGTCAAACTATCAACCAATTCAACTATTGGTAATAATTATTTATAATAATTATTATTCTAGGCAATAGAAAACCGAGGAATTCATTTTCCACGCGTTATTATACCTGTTGGAAAATTATACTTCTCATATTATTATGAAGTATATTTATCTAGAGGCTTACCCGACAGCAGGCCAATGATCCATATGATGACGATCGCGGTTCTGGCTTTACCCGTGGTCGACTTGAACTTGAGCGGATGACAAATGGCGTACCACCGATCGATGGATATCGATGTGAGCGTCATAACAGACACGGTAATCGACACAGTCTAGAGTAAAATAATAATAAAAAAAATTTTAAAAAACCACAATACGGTTAGTACAAATGGAATTAAATCACAGATTTTTATTTTTGGCGCGAACCCATGTTTACAACGAACAAACACACCCGGACGAGGTTAGTGTAAATGTTTGTCCGGACAGGAAAAAAGTGATCCTCCTACAAGCGAGACCCTCGAAACCGTTAGCTAAAGTTTGGCAACAAAGTCACAAAGATGTGCCAGTCGGTTATCAGCACAAAAACTTGCCATGTTTCCCTAATTTTATACGTCATACATTTTTCGCTCAAAGGTGGAAAAATAAAGGTCGGCCAAACCACTAAAATCAATTTCAGTAGACCACAACGAAAACTGTTATTTTGTAATAAAGATCTTTTATTTAATTATTTGTACTTCACCTGATACAAAGAATACATGCGCTACGATAAATAGTCTAGTGAAAACTGAAACATGACATCTAAACTTCAGTTTTTACATAATATCATAATTATTTGACTCGGAGGTGTTGTTTTCTAATATATATTAATCTTCTTATGAACTATATTACAGAGGCATTTTAATTGAAATACACATTAATTTGTTAAATCTTCTTACTGCGCCTAAATTAAATCTTGTGAGAAACTTTCGAAAATTTGTTATCGATTTACGCAGAAAGGAACAGGACATCATTTTTTCAAATATGTCTTGTGTGCAAGTGTACATAAGTAGCTATAACAATGTATGACATAAGTACTAAAATACGAAGAAACTTAAACGAAACTGCAAAGAATATACTTTGAATTTCTAGAAATATTTAAACGACATTTTCAATTTACTTGAGTGAGCTGAGGTACATCAAAGTCAAAACTTAAATGGTTTACGGTAAATATAAAATATGCATTTGCTATGAATACAGTATTCGAAATAGTGGCAGTGAGCTATATCGCGGTAAACAATATAAGCATTACACAGTTTGACAGCTATAGTACAATAATATAGAGTTTAGTAATACACAGTAAAACTTTATAATATTGTATTAACCTCTTGCATTAAAATCACATTATATTTCAACTATTGTATTACCGTTTTGAGAAAACAAAAGGGGTAGAACGTTAAACGACCTTGCCGATACAATACATTGCCATAAAGCTTAAAAATATGTTAATTTTTGAAAAGTTAGTTGACATTTTTGTTTTTTGGTTCATATAATATTTTGAGTAAACCAAATTATTGTCTAAAGTAAAAAATATCAAAATCCGTTTTAACATTGTATAGAAATTGATTTTAAACGATGCGCGTTCTCGCTCATAAACAATTATTTTTTAAATAATTAAAAAGCGGTTTTTTTTCTAGTGCTTGGAGCGGCAATTTCTCAGGGACGGCAAATAGTTTTTAACATTACATTTTTTTTATATATAGCTAGAACTGAAAGAAGTGCAACTAATTATAAAATGTTTTTAGTCCAACGGGATTGTGATAATATTTATTGTTATAAGGCGAACGGGCACATGTTTGGATGTTCCATAATAACATACTTGTTAGGTGTTCATAACTATTCTGCACTAAAAAAATAACACTTTTCTAATTTGTAAGAATATTTGATTTTTTTTTGTGATTTGTGGCTTTTGTAATAAAATCTCTAGTAAAATTAGTGACGGACGATCACGTCAGTGGGTATCAGTATCAGACTAGAAATAAATGTATATTTTAAAAGGCGGTAATTTGTTTAGTGCTTACAGCGGCACAATGGTGAAATCCGTCGCTGCGTGTAATAAATATTAAATAATACGCGAAAAATTTGAATTTTTCGATTTTTTTTTCAAATTTTGTTTACTTCAGACCGATTTGATATCCGTCAGACTTACATTTTTAGCTTCGATACGATAGCATATTTTTTTTTATCAAACACTATTATTATTAATATCACAGCAAATATCATAATATTTTTTATAACCGGCTTTCTATTTTTATGTACAACTGATGTTTTCTTTTACATATTGACAAATGCAAACGATTTAATATATTCAATCAAATGCACATATGTATACCGTATACACTGCACACCCACATATAATAATAATATGTACACGACAATTCTCATGACGAAAAAGTTATGCGACAGCAGTCACCTATATATTATAATATTATTTTTATTACACATTTATTTTTATTGAACGATATAGGATCCTGAGGGATAACCCAAATAACATTTCTAAACCGACCGTAGTACCTATAATGTTACAGTTATGTGTAAAGATTTCCACTTCAATCTTAGTTTTTTCTGTCTGCACGTATCGTTACCGTCGATTTCCCATGTGGTATCTATTAGTTTTCCTCTATTAGTAATGACATTGCACATGCATTGCTGTTCAATATTGCCACTACAGATAATATGATATTTGGAAATATGTAATTTTTAATGCACGACCATGTTCCGAAAAAGAAACACAACAATTGAGACTAGGAATTATGAAATAATATCGTGTAAATAAAGTGTTGTAATATTTAAAAAAAAAAAATTCGAAATATGAAAATCAGTTTTGTCAAGAGTGACCGCTTAGACAGTTCAGGTTTAATCATGATGGTCGTTATTTGCGTTTATTGTTTGTAATTAAATTAATATATTTGTACTATGTTGACGTTTAACGAAAAATAAATACTAAGTTTATAATTGCATTTTTATTGAACAGAACAGTTTGAATACAGAATAAGAGAACGAAGCAATTTTTTTTTATGATAAATCGGCTTTTAGCTGATATATTTTAAACTTGCTAATTACTTTTAAAATATAATTTAATAATTTTTATCTATTGAAATTTGAAAACTACTTGAAGTTTAAAAGTTGTCCACAAATTTGCACCGAAAAGTTGCCTCGTGTGATTTTTGGGTGGACTTCGGCTTAATGGCCAACTCAAACTGCTGGTTTAAGTTAATTTACAAGTTGGTAATTTCTTTTCAATAAAATAAATATAGTAAATACATGAAGTACTCATTTTAGTTGGCTGTAACTGTTCGAGAAATCGTTGTTATTATTATTATTTTTTTAGTTATGAAATAACAAGATTAGTAAAATCTTCAATATAAACATTGTGCGAATGTTACTCATTGGTCGAAAAGACCACTGCGACACGGTAAGCACTATTATTGTTTTTCCAATGTAGTTGTAACTAAATTTAAATAACATATAAAATGATTAAGTCGCTTTAATTGTTCAATTTATTTTTTATTCGTTTATGCTCGATGAGTTCAATATGCAAAACGAAATTTGAATCTACCCAAAGTGGTAAATATCGTTAACTTATTTAAATGTATACTTTTCCAAAACAACGTTTGACCGTGAAATGGTTGTCATTAAATTATTTTTAACTTGAGTTTTCTTTTCATTCGATTATTTTTTAAGGGCTTTGTTGACAAAAATACAAAATTATCATAATAACATGTCTTTAGTAATATAACTTTTTTTTCCCTTTTGTAAAATTATTATAAAATTTAGCCATAAATATTTGATTTTTGCCACTTTATTTATAATGGATACTTTTCCGTAATAGCTATATAACCGTATAGGCTATAGCTTACAACCGTTATAGCTGTATAATCCAACTACTTGCATACATTCACGGCAGTCCTGTTATCTCCTAAAGGAAAACATCTATTCATTCAAGTATATTTTTCTAGGGCCTAGGCTGTATTATATAACTGTTAAGATGGGAAAAAATGGATGGATTAACATTCACAAAAATCGTATACATAAACGCTATAGAGTGTTCAATGTTTACAGTTTTTCTCGGTAATACGCGTAAAAAGAACTTTTCACCTATACTCTTGTGGCCTTCATTTGCATGCGACAGCGATCATAAAATAAAAAAGGGCGGTTTTATTAATATATATTTTCGTGTTATCCGGTGGTAGGTAGTTGATTCTGTTGTACTCGAACCGAACTAGATAATGCTCCAAGGGACACACAAATGAGAATTCGGAACGACGTCATATTTTCATCTTTCCGGTTGTCCGTTGATTTATTGTGGACAGTGCCCTGCGGATATACCTTCGACTGTACAGCATAAGGAATAGGTCGCAAATACCGTAGTAGTCTTTTTGCATATGATATAATTTTAGTGTACACTGTGCACGTGAAAAAAGAACCCGAGACGTATCATGTTGTTGTATAATAATATTATCTCCGAACCTGAGGTTTCCAACAAATCCAATTAGGTCGCGCTCGCTCGCATTTACCTGAAATAAGTATTATTAACTCGCAAATCAAATATTAGATAAAGGGGACTCTAAATCTTCGAAACAATTCATTCTCTAATTTGACTATAATTTTGGCTTGGAAAAACTTGAAAAAAATCTGATCTGTAAAAGGTAACACACTTATTGAAATACAATCTAAGCACTTCACTTTTTTCCAAGAATATCATAACGAATGATTGACCTACATTTAAAATTCTCAAAAATGTAGTCTAGTTTAGAGTTTTTTTTATTAAAACCTGTTAGTGTAGATCTTGGCCAAATTTTCCAAGCCAAAATATTCTACGGAAAACCCAAAAATTGCCAAAAAAAAAAAAGTCTGCTTACATTGGAATTGTCGACGTTATATTGTAGATAGTCCATGAAGTTAGAAAAGTTATTATAGTTAATAAAATGATTTAGATGATGTAAAAACGAACAAAAAGAAAACATTTCCGATACCCGTTTATTACATTACGGTAGATATCGGTGTATGAGTCGTATCTTTAAGCCTACCTAACGTATTACAGGTTAGTGTAACTGTCCGAGTTCAACAAAGGGGTTTACACGACAAACACGGCCGGATGTTATATAAAATCAGTTTTTATCCGGTTTCATTGTTTCGCAAAATCTAACCGATTTTGATAACAGCGGTTTATTGAACCGAGTAAATGTTTCCAGTTCAAATCGGCCATCCCGTGGTTTTAACTATGGAAAATAAAACAACTCTTTCTCGCTCACCACCCACGGCCAGTACTAATTGTATGCTTTGTGGTTTTTAC